TTAGCTTACAAAAGTGAAAATTATCTAATTATGCATAGAAATATACTCAATATCATTTCTAATTAAATGAAGAAAAGTGCCAAATAAGTGTGTTTTTGCACACTTATCAGGAAACATGAAAGTTTGTGGCTTGATGCTATGAAGGATGAAATGACCTCATTGGCTAAGAATAAGACATGGACCTTAGTTAATAAACCTAAAGGGGAAAATGTCATTGACTGTAAATGGATTTTTAAGGTAAAAGAAGGAACTACTGAAGGTGAGAATATAGGATTTAAGGCCAGATTAGTTGCAAATGATTTTAACCAAATAGGGGGAATTGATTACAATGAGATCTTCTCTCATGTAGTCAAATATACCTCTATAAGAGTTTTGCTTTCTATTGTATCTCAATTTGATTTTGAATTAGAACAATTTGATGTCAAAACTGCTTTTTTGCATGGAAACTTGGATGAAAAAATCTACATGGGGAAATAATAAAACCAAACTAAGCCATCTTCTCTTACCAGTCAATCCAAATAGAATATTAATAGAAAAATCGAATTGTTATTGGATCAAGATCTGTTGCTTTTCCTCTATAAACAAAACATGGGGTTCCCCCTCAACAATCCCAAAGAACCGTTCTTTGTTTGCTACAACAATGCCTGAGCACTTTAGAAATCACTATCATTTCCTTGCTCTAGCACTGGCTTTTGCTGATAACGCCATGTGAAAGAGAAGAAATGGGGAAAATGTAGCAAGACATTAAATACCCTTTCATTTTGGAAAAAAAAAATTGAGTACTTTGTTCACTTAACGGAAAAGTTGGATGGAAATGAACGGAATGACGTTTTGCGCAATAAAATGTGTAATTTGGGGTGAAAATGTCAAAAAATAGAAGATGAGACATTTTGCACAACAACAGTGAAAAGTATGAACGATCTGTGCTATTTACCCAAAAATTAATATTGCCCATTATTTAGCCTTCGTTTGGGCACCATTAAAATCAAATTTTGGTGGAAAATGTATTTTGAAATAATAATTTCTTAAGAATACGTGTTTAAAAAAGATAGAAATTTTTTGAATTTATGTGTAATATTATTTTATTGAAAAATGTTTAATTAAAAAAAAAAAGAGAAAAATGTATTTTGAATAAAATAAAGTTCAAACAGGACTTAATGAAAAGCCCAACTCAGCCCAAATCTTACTATCTGTATCAATAAAGCCCATTGTCCGGCTCTCTCGTAAATCTCAATATTCGTCATCCCCTACTTTCCTATATTCGGACCTTTACAGTTTTCCCCCTTTCCATTCACTGTCTTTATATAGCAACAATTCAACACATTCAAGAGGCGCTCGTCCACACTCCCCCTATCATCAATCCCTAACCCTACCCTTTCCAAGTCTCGCTCTCGAGAATTCAAATCGGCAAATTGTATCTAAAACTTCGAGAAATTTCAGTTTTTGTGTCAGTTCACTTGGACCGTTCGAGATTAGTTGTATGTACATAGAGATTTCGATTGTTAAAGTTGTAATTAGAGTTTTACTTGTTCTTTTATTGTAATATTCAAATCAGGCCGAGTCTTGTTTTTGAGGTAGAATGATAGATTTTTGTTTCGTTTGAATTGAATTTGACGTGGAGTATGTAATAGTATCTGTTAGTGATGAATAATGAGAAATTGAGGTTAGGGTTTTTGTGATTTGTAAAGGATATGGAGAGTACACGCAGGCCATTCGACAGATCTCTTTCTAAGGAACCGGGATTGAAGAAACCCAGGCTCAATGATGGCCCTGCCGCACCCGATCGCAGCTCCAATGGACGTGGCAAAACCAGCCTTGGCAGCGGATTTATTCAAAGGCCGGTGTCTTCGAACTCTGGGGGTGGAGGCGGCTTGAGATTCCAGAGGGACCGAGACTCGGAAAGCAGCGAATCTGTCCGTGGTCCCTACCAACACCAACAGAGCTCGCAGCTACATCACGAGCTGGTGACCCAGTACAAGGCTGCCTTAGCTGAGCTGACTTTTAACTCGAAGCCCATAATTACGAACTTGACTATTATTGCCGGTGAAAATGTGCACGCAGCCAAGGCAATTGCGGACACTGTCTGCACGAATATTCTCGAGGTGATTCAAGTTTTTTAACACGCTACTAGTAGTAAATAGTGTTTTATGTTACTCCAATTGTATTGAAAAATTGGAAAACAAATGTAAGAATGGGCTGCGGAATTTGGGATTTCCATAGTTAACGGAAGAAGCATTGGGTGTAAGTTTTTCAGCAAGTTGTTATTTTTCATTGAAAATTCTTTTAAATCCTACATATTAATGCGTGCCTGAGGATTATTCTGTTTGAAAGAATGTCATTTCGATCACAAAAGCTCAAGAATCAAATAAAAGATTGCTTGATTATTTGCGAATGGTAATTATGTGGGAAGTTGGAAATCCGCTTTCAATTTATTATCATTGATATTACCTTTTATCGCCAATGTAATGCTATTAATTATCCATTTCTTGGATGCACCAGTTATTATGGTTGCTCAAAACAGCTGTCTTTTTTCTGTTTGATTCGTAATGGCTGGTGCGTGTTTATATTTTGGACAAATGATCTGTGATGGTTTGCAACATTTTCTATTGTTTGGAGGGTCTTTTCCCAACATTACTAAAATGAATTGATATTATGTGCTTCTCTGAGCACATTGAGTTGTATGGGACTTGTCTTTTATATTTGTAATTACTTTATCTCCATAGTTGAGCACTTTTATTATCCGAAATCAATGTTTGGGCCGTTTGTTCGTAGCTGAAGAAGTTCTGAGTTATGCTGTATTTTCATCAGAGATAGGTAAATTAAATGTCTATTTTGGGCTTCGTAAGATATACAATTTCCTCCTGTAAACTTTTTCAGTGATTTTTTTATGCAACTTCTGTATTATTCTTTCCTCTCATTCATCTAATTGCTAAAAAAGGTAGTCAGCACTTGTATACACGGTGAAGAGTTGTTTCTAATTCATTCTAGTGGTTTCTCGAAGAGAGTGCCCATTATTGTGAAGTTGGCGGTGTATGTCTTTACTGAAGAACGTTTCAGTTGATTACTTGATTGTTTACTTATGTAACAGAACTTAATAATGTAATCCAATATTATACAAACTCGAGCAATTTCCTGGTACGGAAATTTGTATTAGCCAAAATTTTAAGCATTTGATATTTATCTCTACTGACAGAGAGAGCTTATGTTTCTTTCATTGTTAATAAGATTCAGAAAAACTTTTATGTGGGTTATTTTTTTTGCTTCCTTCATTTTGAATTGTTAATGTTATCCAATCTTAAAGATTGGAATCTGGTGGTGGAGTTGTTTTTTTTCCCTGCTTTATGTAGCCTATTATTTCTTTCACTAGTACGTAATGTTTTCAAAACTCTTCTTATCCATATTATATCTGACCCTAGATATTTGTTTACAGGTTCCTTGCGAGCAAAAGCTACCATCTCTTTATCTATTAGACAGTATTGTGAAGAATATAGGGAGGGATTATATTAAACACTTTGCTTCAAGATTACCTGAGGTCGGGTTTTAATAATTTGCACTTTCTCATGTTACTTATTCACGTCTTCTACTTGTAGATATACTTTGCCTCACTATCTTATCATAACTCCATTTGCACCTCTTTTATGGGCCTGTTTGACATGTCTTTTGGGCGTGTTATGATAATTTTTGGAACTGCTCTGTCTTATTGGAAGTGATTTTAAAGCTGGCCAAGGGGATTTCCTTAAGAAGCTCTCCTAAAAGTAGAAGCAGAAGCTATTCCAAACAGGCCTATATATTTCTGTCTTATTATTCCAGTTTTCATTGTTAAAGAATGGCGAATGCAAATAAAAGTTGTGTTTCACCTTCCTTATCTTGATCCACTCATAATTCTGCCCTCATTCTTGAGGAGGGAAAAGTTTCGAGTTAGGAGAATCAAACTTATACTTTCAATTGATTTTTCCTATAATAACCTGTTTTGGGTACATTTTTCAGGTTTTCTGCAAGGCATATAGACAGGTGGATCCTTCGATACATCCTGGTATGAGGCATCTTTTTGGCACGTGGAAGGGAGTCTTCCCTCCCCAGCCATTGCAGATAATTGAAAAAGAGCTTGGAATTGCTACTGCTGTCAACGGTTCATCTTCAGGAACAATAATGTCTAAGCCAAATTCACAGGCCCAACGTCCTCCACACAGTATTCATGTAAATCCCAAGTATTTAGAGGCAAGGCAGCGTATTGAGCAGTCAACCAGGGTAAGCAGCTCATCATCATCATTTTTATCACAATAAATATTCTTGGCTCTGTTGAGTGCTGTTCATTTTTCTTTTATTTCTTCATCTCACACGTAGAAAAATTTTGTTGGTATTATTGTAACATTTGATTAGCTTTTTTACAATTTACCCCAAGTTTCTGCCAAATTGCTTTGAACCATGTGATGTACACTTGCTGGAGATATCAATGCTCCAAATATCAATTCCTGGAAAGAATATGTTTTGTCCCTGAATACGGCATATGATTGGATCTAGATTCCTAATGGCTAAGGCTTTTAAGCGAACGGAGAGAGGTGATGACAAATTGTAGGATTATCATGTTTGTTAGAATGGCCATGAAACCCAAATGGCTAGTCTGGTTGGGATTTGTTGGGACCTTCCATAGTAATTAAGATGGGAGAATTTTACTAAGTCACACTTTTAAACAGATTTCTTGTTCAATGGGACAGCTCAGTTCTCTTGTCTGACCTCAGTGATGAAATAGCATTCCTACTTTGGCAGTTGAATGGATAACAGTTTTGTGAATCGTAGATCATCTCCATTAATCATTGAATTTAGAAAGTGGATCTCCTAAATAGAAGAGGGAGCTGGTTCTACTTTAAACTGTTTCTTATACTTGCATTGCCAGATACCCACGCTATTCTACTTGATTGATGTATGGATTACAATGCTTAAACTTTTCAGTGACAACACAATTTACAATGATTTTGTTGTGGATCCTTTGAGTAAACTTTTTATTTTCTTAAGAGTTTTTTTTTTCAGGGGATTGTTCCTTTCTCTTAATTTTTTTATCTTCGAAGGGGGTGGGGATCATGTGGTATCTGTGGTATTTTAATGCTCTATCCTTCTAAAGAAACAATCTGTGTGCATCTTATTTTGTTCTTACATTTGTGTTGTCTTAACGCGATGAAGGTGAAAGGAGATTCCGGCGACATTAGTAAAACCTTGATGAACTTACCCGATGATGTTGAAGGACCAGAGAGAACCTATATTAGTTCAGGAAGAACATGGACTGATCCATATGCTAAGGTGCATGTGGAAAATATAGTATTAAAATGTTTCTCTCTATATTTCACAATCTGTGTTCTAAATTACTCAAGACTTGCAGAACATCCAGCGCCCTCGTAAAGATCAAGTAAATGAACCTGCTTCTGCCAAAAATTTAACACATGGAGATTCTGACTATGGTTCTGATTCATCGAAGCATTCAGGCTTGGGGATTGGAAGAGGGAGTGAAAAACTTAAACAACATGGATTTGGCAAGCCACTGTATGAATCTGGTGGCAATGTATCAGAGAAAATATTAGATCAACAGAATGGTTTTGATATGAAGCATGGATTTCAAAGCTATCTGGCCCATGAATCTACAAACTCTAACTCACATCTAGAACTAAAGAACATCTTTGCGAATAAAAGCAGCAGTGGGATGAGTAGGAGCTGGAAAAACTCCGAGGAAGAGGAGTATACATGGGATGATATAAACTCAAGACCTGCTGACAGTGGGGCTGTTGATATCTCAGATAAAGATCTGTGGATACCTGATGATTTCGAAAGATTGGTAAGTTTTATCAAGGTTCAATGGATTGTTAAACCCCGAAATATCAGCTTGTTTAAATTTGGTTAGGGATTATTTCTACTATTATATTGCGGGCGGGGTAGACCTAAAGTAACATTGTTTGATCTAGTTGTTTTGGATCTTCCAGTAGAAATAGTTGTAGCAATGAACAAATGAAGGGGCGAAAGGATTCATGTATCCGACATTAAATTTATTGAACAAGGCTTAATATGTTGTTTTTTATTGTTGTAATCATATTCCTGGACCACATCAGTGTGTCAGCCATTTGATCAAATTTATTTTTGATATTTATTGTGCAGGACTTTGAGACCCATATCCAAAGGCCACAAAGTGTACATTTCCTTGGGTCAAGGGTTGATGATGAAGCTCTCACTGATTCTCTAACTAAAAATCCAGGTCAGGTGGTTCCTGGGTCTCGAATGCCATCATCATTGACAGAGGAGATGCATCCACTAGAAAGTAGGCTTTCAGCAATTAGGAATATATCAGGTGAGGGATATCAGGCCTCATTTTCAAGTTCTGCAAAGTTAGTGGACAGGACTTCTTTTCAATCACAGAGGGGCCCAGGCCTTAGTGGGGCGCCGAACTTTAGCTTTTCAACAAATGCTATGTCGGGGTCCACACAATCAATAACACGACAGAATCTGGGGGCTGGATCCCAATCACCTAAGCACCAGCAACCTCCTCCCCCTTCACTCTCAGGCCACAATCCGAATCAACTACCGCAGAATTCTGATCAAGAACAAAACTCCACCCCGCGTCTTGTAGATCCAAGAAGGCCTCAATTTTCAGGACAAAGAAATATAGGGTCACGTAACCAGTTTTCTCAGGAGTCTGTGTCCATGCCATCACAGGATGTCCGTCTAACTAGTTCACAGAGATTGCAGCACCAAAGTTTACAGACATTGTCTACTGTAATGTCCCCTCAGCCGAGGAACCACGCTTCATCTAGTCAGCAGAAAAAGCTTGAACTCTCTTCTGGGGAAGCTCAGAAACAGTCGCTGCCACAAAATTCAAGTATTGAGAACTACTCTACCACAGGGAAGTTATCACCACACCAACCAAATACTCTTTCTGCTGACTTACCAGGACAATCAAATATCAGCACTTCGTTGGCCGCTGTAATGAAGAGTGAAATAAGTTCAGGTGTGCATAAATTACCTATATCAAGTTTTCAAGGTGCTGAGGGTGTGTCACCTCAGGTAATTGCACAACCACCTCTTCCAAGTGGACCTCCTGCCAACTTAACATCCTTGACTCCATTACATGGAAGGACATTGGACCACACATTTTCTCAGGGAAAGGTACAGCGACCCCCACTGCCACCTGGTCCCCCGCCCTCATCTTTAGCAGGTAGTAGCTCAGAACAGACATCAAGTGTAGTAAATCCTGCCTCTAATCCAGTTTCTAGTCTTTTGAGCTCTTTGGTTGCGAGAGGCTTGATATCTGCGTCCAAGAAAGATTCACCATCTTTAACTCCATCCAGCATTCAAACTCAACCTCCAGACCTGGATACTGGGGTTGCAAGCAGTAGTACAACTGCAGATTCTTCTGGTCCTGTTACCATAGATAAACCTCTTTCATCTACAGCAGATAAGGTATCTTTGCACAGGCTTGATGCTAAGATCTTTGACGGCTTGCCTCAGTCCATGACAACGGAGATAAAAAATCTCATTGGTTTTGAGTTTAGGCCTGATGTTGTTCGGGAATTGCATCCAGCTGTGGTCAATGAACTTCTTGATGACCTTCCTCATCAGTGCAGCATATGTGGTCTGAAACTCAAGCTTCAAGAACGATTTGACAGACACATGGAATGGCATGCATTGAGGGTCCCTGAACAGGATTCTTCGAGTAAGACTTCAAGGAGATGGTATGCCAGTTCAGTCGATTGGGTTGCAGGAATTGATCCCCTCCAACCCATTGATGGCACCTCGGATCTATTGGGATCGGAAAACAGTGAACCATTGGTTCCTGCAGATGAAAGTCAATGTGCATGTATTCTGTGTGGTGAGTTGTTTGAAGACTTCTACTGTCAAGAAATGGGCGACTGGATGTTCAAAGGAGCTGTTTATTTGACTAACCAATCCTCACAAGGGAGAACAGGAAATGCCTGTGACAGTGCTGATGTGGGTCTTATAGTCCATGCTAACTGTGCAGCAGAAGACTCTTTTTGCAACTTGGGACTGGTTGGGGAAATCAAACTGGTAAGTACCATGCATAGTAATTGATTTTGGAATTTACACATTTTATCTTCCTATGGTGCAATGAACCCGAAATTTGTGTGTCCAATATGCCCTTGTTTGATCCCCATTATTTCTAAGATATATTTCCCTTTCTTCTTTTCAACCACACATCCTTCAATAAAATAATATTACACGCAAATCCGAAACTTTTTCTTATTTTTTAACCACACATTCTCTATTAATCTACTATTTCAAAATACATTTTTAGGAAAAAATGGGTCTCAAACAGCCTCTATCTTTCTCTAGATATCATTTTTTGTATGTCTAAAACCTATCAGATTTTATTTGTGCCCGTCTGGTTTGGTTAAAAATCAGATTCTTAGTAGATTTTGATAAAAGATGATGAAATGTGTGGTTGAAAAATTGATAAAAGTTGCGGGTCCATAAAATGTGAAGTTGAAAATGAGTTTAAAAAAAATTGGGGCCAAACAGGCACTGAGTATTCTAGTTCATTCATCTGTTGTCTATTATGTTAGTTTGAATAGATTTTGCCACATCTATTGGAGAGTGGTTTTAAAGGCAGATTTCTCTCTCAACCACATATTTGATTTCTTTCTCTTTTCATTTTATTTATTTTGGGAGGTGGGTGGTTAGAGGTGTCGATGTATGGTGCCTGCCAAATTAGGAGATAATGTTGGCTAATTTTCTTATAAGCTTTGTCTATGCTCAATCTTCATACCTTAGAAACTTGAAGCTTGTTTAGCAAGATTTTTTCAAGGAGAAAATGATTTATTTGGAGAATTGTATGGTTAAAAAGTGGGGAAAAGTTGTGGGTCCCATAGAATGTGTGGTTGAGTATGATTTTGGGGAAAAATGATTTTAGAAGAATCTTTGACAAACAGGCCTTTGGTTTTCATATCAAGTATGCAGTTAACTTTCTAATTATTAAAAGCACAGGAAAATACTGAAATTAAGATTTTATTCTATTGATCAAAAAATTATTTTTTACTTCCACATAATATGCTCGTTTGAATGAAGACCATTTTTAGTCTGGCTGTTTTACTGTTAAAATCAAGTACTGTGATTTGTTTGGTCTTTATAATGAATCTGAAGAACTTTGCATAATAAGCTGGATTTCTAAATTCTCTGTAATTTATTATGGACCATAGAAGTAAAGAATATTAATGTCGAATGTGGGGAGGTACTGATGTTCTCAGGGAATTGGTTTGAAGTCAAAATCTATTTTATTTAAGTAATTAACTATCAAGTACATGAAAAAGGAATTCTAAATTCTCTGCAATTTATTATGGACCATAGAAGTAAAGAAAATTAATGTCGAATGTGGTGAGGTACTGATGTTCTCAGGGAATTGGTTTGAAGCCGAAATCTATTTTATTTAAGTAATTACCTATCAAGTACCTGGAAATTGGAATGATGATAAAGGAAGTTTAAGGCGTTAGGGAGGATTGGATAGCCCTCGACAAAATTTAGGAAGAAAATGAAGTTAAAATATCTTATTTATTATTGTCTAGTCCTGATCAATATTGTGTACCAAACATGGACTAATTGTGCTTCAGTTTTAGATCTATTGCGAATAAAAATATTGTTCATTATCTGCAAGCTAATCTCATACTTGACTCGTTTTGTTTCGATCTACAGGAAAAAGATGCATGATGTTTGGATGTGGAAACCAATGACATCACAGGTGTATGGTAGAGAGAAACCACCAAATTTTTGTATGTTCACTATTTAGAGCCTATATGTCAAGATCATTGTCCATGTATGTGCCTTGTGAACTAGTGCCTGCAGCAACTTCTACCTAGTCAATATTTTTTTTCCTTGGATTCTAAGCTGAAAGAAATATATATAAGATGGTAGATGGTTAAATATTTTATTCTAGTTTGTTTCCTTTCCTTTCCCATGTGTTTTCGTTTCTGTTTAAAGTTATTCCTGAGCAAATTTTTGGTTTCATTCTAGCATTGTTGCGTGTTTCTTCGAATTTGATGTACAGAGAACTCGAGTGGAACCATGTATTGTTACAGTAGTCAATCAGTTTTGACTACTTGTATCTGGTTCTTGTTTACTTTTTATCTCATTCATATTTTCCCTCCCTACTTTCTTATTTTCAGCTCTGGTATATCCTTATTCCTTGGATAGCAGCTAATTTCCCGTTTTGCGCTATCATCTTCCATAAAATTTGCTATAAATGTTCCCTCCCGGAGACTAGCATTCGAGTCCTGCAATGAGAAAGACTTATTTCTCCCCGGAAAATTATTATTCGCTTCTTTTTGGGCTTGTGATTAATGGCCCATATTATTTGCTTTTGTTAATCAATTGTCGACTTTCATTTGCTGGTTGTAATTCTATAACGTTCCCAGGGTAATGCATTTATTTTTATTTAACAAAAATACTCATTTCAAGAAAATCTGTGACCTTACCTCCAGCAGTAAAGTGAAATTCCCTTTTGCAGTAATGTTTTATTTTTCCTTCACCTGTTGCTTTTTCACATCTTGATTTGGCCTTGCTTAGATTCTGAATCATCTTTTTCTTCATTCGGACCAGGAAGAATCACATACCAAACTGCCAAGGAACCACTTAGATTCACTCATAAAGCGAACTGGCGAGCAAATTTGCCTAGCGATCTTGATCAAGTTTTTGGATTGTGGTAATGCGAATGGCGAGGCACGAAAATGTGGAAGTACAAGTCGCTGTGATTGATTAGTTTGGTCAATATATCTTGTTCTCGAGTTTGAAGCAGAAAACTTATGATAGTTTATTTGGTCGGAGGTTTTTTTTTTTTTTTTTGGGTGGGTGGTGATGGCGTAGAACATCATTGAATTAGTTTTAATTGGGAAAAATGATTTGATCAGTGAGATATTACAGATTTTAAAAGTACTTCGATAATGTTTTCTCTTTCGCGAAGTCTATTGTTTAATAATCTAAAAAATATGTCTACTTTTATTTGAGCATTTTTTAGAAAGTATGTTTTAAGGTGGATGACGTGGATATATACGCCATTTGCCGTTAGTTTTATCATCCATGTTAGCGTATAAAGTTAGTTAGACGGGAGGCGATGGATAGAGTGACCATAGTTGAATGCAAATTAAAGTTCGATGACATGTTTGGTCGAAATTAAAATTAATGATCCGATTGTATGCATTTAATTCCATCAAGGTGCATGATGCAGCAGTCATTCCATATTTTCATGCCTTTTTGCAACTTTTTGTTGTGAAAAAGATGACAATAAAAGTAAAAGATAAACACACGGATTTGCAGAGGAATTTTTATCTCTTGAGGAATCACAATACAGTAGTTGGGCGACTACTATTTCGCTTACTAGCCATATGTCATAAA